GGGGGAGGGGGTTTAGGAATACTGTTTTTATGTAGAATCATAGAATCAGTTGAAAACCAATAATAGGGTATAAACCAGTCAACAGATGTTGCTTCTGGTATAGGGGTATCAGTATTACAGCCACGTTTCATATCCACGACACATTGATGCCCATCGTCTGTAGGTTCGATGTTGGTTGTTGCTGAACCTGTCCTAGTCTAATTTTCTGACCACTAAACTTATAATAATGAGAAAGTGCTGAGTCTGCATTGTTTACCCGAAAGGGGACTAGCTTGTGGCTTCAACATATATAGAGGGTATGTTTAATTTTGAAAGTTATATGATAGTCACTAACCGTTAATTGATAACAAGAGTTGCTTAGTTGGGCTCGCCATTGGCGTCATTAATACATCTTGTATATTCTTTTCTTCTCTGAGCTTGAGAAGACAAAAGAACATGAATCTTGCGCTAATTTGAATGCTCTATGCTTTTAAGTTACAGTTGCACATTGGATGAGTATTACTACTAGTCACAGCTGAATGCTAAAATGCTTAGTCTCTTCGCTGCGACTAAGCGAGAATGCTGCATCCACAACTTTGCCTCCATAACTAGCTGTAACTTTGTAATCACCAAGGAATCCATAGAAGCTGTAAGAACCACGCGCATCTGTTTGTCCCTTCAGAACCCCAGTTTCCCACTCCTTCAGAAGTTTGTCCACTACATCACCAGTTGGTAGGTTATTTAAATCTGGATCTGTAAGGCACATTCTGTAACATTTATTTCTCCTTATGGCTGTCCACAGCATTATCCCATCCACGGCCGGATGTGAGAAGGCCTCCCTCAATACTTGTTCCAAGTAAATAGCCTGTCCATTAAAATGGATTAATCAGAGATGGATCTAGAATTTTAAGTTGGTGGTATGAAATATCTCCATACTCGGTATTTTGTTGTGGTCATGGGTGCGAACATGGTAAAAATATATTTGTAGGAAACTATAAGAATGATGCTGCCTTATTAGTGAACTGTCAATGTATGTTTTCTTGCTTTAGCTCAGTTTTATACATTGAGTTTGAGGGAACATATTGAGCAATATTAGAGCTGTCTCACCTGTGTTTCCTTGCTAAATGTATCACTGATATCAACTTCAGTGAGCCAAATGGGAAGCCCCAATGTTGCTAATTTATCTAAAGTAGCTCTTATTCGAGGCCGATTGGGGACTCCAAAATGACCCTCAAGGCCAATTCCATCCATTGACATGCCGTCTTCTTTGAGCTCCCTGATCTTTGAAATATACTTGTCTACAGTGGACTTAGAATCACAATTTTCTACCACATTGAATTCATTGAGAAACAATGTTGCTAAAGGATCTTGTTGGTGAACTGTCCTGTAAAATTCCAGTGTGGCATTCGGTCCCAGCCTTTGCTCATAAAAATCAAAGTGAAGCAGTTCATTGTTAACATCCCAGTGTACAAATTCATCTTTGTATTTACTCATAAGACTCTGTATCCTTGAGTTAACAGCTGATTTCAGCTCAGGATCTGTAAGATTTTGAACCCAACCTGGTGTATATTTCGGATCCTCCCAGAAAATATTGTGACCTCTGACCGTGATTTGGTTTCTTCGAACAAATTCCAGCAACTGGTCTGCTAAGGTATAGTTAAGTTGACCGCGTTTGGGCTCTGTGGTGTACCACTTGATTTCATCTTCAAAAACTGCAGCGTTGAATCGCTCAAGAAACCAGTTCTGAAACAGGAATAAAGCTCAGCTTCTGATACTAAAGGCTAATACAGAAATGAAACTGCATTTCTGTTGTGCTGTGGCACATCCCATGTTTAGAAATAGCTAATGCTCCTATTAATTAGTGTTTAGACATATTTTAGAAAATTTTTTTAATACGTTGGATCCGTCTCTACTGCAATGATGGATATTTTGGACAAACCTGGTAGGGGGTATTACCAATAAAGGTATATGCAATAGCAGATCCAAGGAGGAAATCTTTGGAAACTTGTTCTATTGTTAGCGATGCACCTTCAAGTCTAACTCCTTGTTTATTTGAGACGTGAATAGTAACAGCGCGCTTCCTTGCCTGAATCAAAGTTTGTTTCAGAATTCATTTGGCATCGAACTTTCAATCCAATGAAACAAGAAAGCACTACTCAACATATTTACCATGTTAATTTTTGTTTGCTGATTTAACGCCCATTGTTGCTCAGTAAAAGGCTGCAATGCAGCACTTGCAATCTCTATTTCCAAATCATCTTGATCTGAATTCTGCAAAAGAAGGGAAACAACTGAAATGTAGTCCTGTAGACTTTCCAAGTTCTTATTCATCAAAATTACTAGATGTATGAGTCTTGATAGATATTAACAATGTCGACAAGGCAACCCAATAGACACACCTTGAAATAAATGGAAGATAAATTAAGTTTAGAAGCTACAAATCCACCCTTGAGGAAGGACCAGCAACCAGGCTTAGCATCTACAGTGCCTACACATACTTCTTCAGAATCGTTGTCACCTACGCTTACTGTTATGAGAGCAGAATCTGCATTTTTTAGCTTAATCCAAGCTGCCAAAACAAAAATATGTAAGATTACCTTCTGATTCCTGTTAACACCTTGCATCTTGCATCAATCTTTTTTTATCATGGAATAAAAACATTTGATTAATAGTAAGTAACTCAACTGGAAAAAGAATAAATGGTGCCAGGGGTGATATCTTGTAATCTGAAAACAGGTAAATGGACAGTCTTTCCATCCGCTCCTGTAAACTCCGGAAACTTATCCTTTAAAAGTCCGCCACCATAGAGTGGCTTCTCCGGGTAAAGTTTGCACTGCATACCCCATCATACATTACATGTAGATTACAAGAATGAGTCATTCTGTCATTGCCTTGCAGATATCGTTAATACCTCTGTGTAAACTGTTAGTCTCAAAATTATTAAATACTCAAATGCACTGGAGTTTATCTACATTGAATGTACTGTAACACCATAGGAAGATGTAGGCTATTTGTTGGTGGTTTTGTCATCCTTTTCAAAGTACCTCTTACTAGGCTTCAGCATAACATAACTTAAACTTAGGCACACAGCATAACATAATTGTTCTACTGCTGGAACTATTTCGTTAAGAATGCGAAATTACTTTCCCGGCCCTGTGTTTAGTTGCAAATACTGGCTTAAGCTTAGGCCATATAAAAGTTTACACACAAGAAAAATGATATAACAATTCGATCCTACGAGACCAAGCAAAACATTGTATGTAATTGGTGTTAATAAGTCACATGGGAAGAAAAATGAAGGATTGTTACCTCGGTGAAAGCGGAAGAATCATAGAGTGGCCCATCTGCAATAAAGTACAACAGTCAAAACTGTCACTAGTCTTAACTAGTAGCAACAAGAACACATTGTACATCTATAACTACAACTACTGTTTATTCAAATAAAGAAAGCATAGTAGGAAAAGAGAGATTACCATAAGGTGAAACGAGGGCAGGCAAAGAAACAGAGAGGACCCAATAGAAAAAAGAGAGGCAAAAGATGGAACGACCCCTCATTCTGTTTAGATGAAAACAGCTCAAGATTCCAAAATACTATATAAAAAAGAAGTGGATGGAAGAGGAAGAGCAGTAGCAAGCAAATTGGAGTAATATTAATGGATACCAACAAGGAAGCAGAATCACAAGAGGAATAGTATGAATATAGCTTTGTTTCTCCCCAACTCCCAAGTCCGTGCTTTATTCACATGCTATGCAAAAGCAAGAAGCTAGTAATAAATAGTATCAGTACTAGTTAAGCTTTTCATAATGATGATGACATCTGAATTTATTTGATCCTCAAATAGTAGGAGAATTGAATAAATATGCAATACTTAGCCTTGAGATGAAGATGAAATAACAGAAAAGTAGTTCCGGGAGCAGGGCTTCCGGGTACAACTGTAATGAAATAAAAAAACAAGAAGATAAAATTGTATAAAACATTGAATAGATTATAGCATAAATTTGCTAGAAAATTTAGTGTCCTCTACAATGATAATAGACCTCACTATTTATAGCTGTCCCTAGAAAACAAGGTCCTAGGATCATGCCCTTCTTTAATGTCAATTACGAGGGTCATTAAAGAATGTGTAACGGCGGGCATAAATGACAAATTCTTTATAATGGGTAGTGTACTAAATGCTATGGAATATTCTCCATTAAATGCTACCGGGTGGTAAGCATTTATTTCATCTTTATGAGCATTATTCTTTCCGGTAACAGATGGAATAGTTGTCTTCTGTTTCAGCTATCCTCTGCCTTCGGCTCCACGTGTCATTCCCTTATGCAATCACTTAACATAACATATTTTACCATATATAATGTGACGTAGACAATCTACCCTAATACAAACATTAATGGCTACTTCCACGGCTCGAAGAGTCTACCTTGTAAGAATTTTTCGAAGCAGCAAAAATTGCTACACACACCTGTATCAAATTAGTGCATATGGTAGAGTCTAATGTAACATAAGTTGGTCTACAAACTTTATTTTATTGACGAGATTTTTAATGAAAGCTGAGATGGCATAAGTACGAATAAGAGTCAATTATTATCTTATTTTAATTATTTCTCAATATATTAGCACTAGTATACTTCTAAAAAAGAGATTGTCATTCTAGTGAATCGAAAGAATGTCCTCGGTTTCTGGTATCTCAGTGCACGTGATGTGCAGAGAGAAAGGTCCATTCATTACCTATTCCTTCCGGTTCAAAATAAGTGATTTTTTGGCTTTTTTCTTGTGGTCCAAAATAAGTGATTTTTTCAGATTTCAAGAATGAATTAAGTATTTTTTTCCTACATTGTCCTTGGAGTAAATAGTGTTGGAATATGTGTTAGGAGTGTTTATGTGAGATAGTAAAGGTTAATATGGTCAATTTCATTACTAATTAATGCTAAAAAGTGAATTTCTTAATCTGAAATACCAATTTGACACCATACTCCATTTTCACTAAAATACTATGAAATCCATTTTCCATTACTAGTTTGAAGAGTGTGGGCATTTATCATAAGAATGCGCATTTCCCCAAATGTTTAAATCCATGCGATGCTGTCTCGCATACAAATCTTGCAAATTTGTTGTGTTTCACTTTCACATTCCACTTGTGAGAGGATAATGCAATGAATATATATTCCGATGTAATGGGGTTGGCCTGCACATTCTTGTGACCACTTAGTGGATATATATATCAATATAGAAGAGTTTTATGACAAATCCGAAAAAATTAATTAGAGATTAGAGGAAAGTGACAGTAATGTGAATGTGACCCTTTTGAATGAATTTACCATTTACCTAGCCCGCCTAGTTGTTTGCCAAGAATGGCCCTCTAATTTTCTTATAGCTTTACAAGAATGGTCCTCTAATATATAGCTAGCTAATTACTCATGAAACCCATTCTTTTTTCTTCCTCTATATTCCCTCCTTTTCTTTTCTCCGTAATTACCATAAGCAGGCAAAGATCTACGCGACGAGTTTAAATTATAAAATATTTATTTGAACCCAATATTTTTTATAATTTCAATTAAATCTATTATTTTTTCTTTGACCACATACAGGTGAAAAACATCTTGAATAGTAGGGTAAAGTTGTTATGTTTTGAACTTATTGCGTTTAAATTCTAAATTCGCCTACTATTAAGAGTCGTCTGGTTGGGTTATGCGGGATTAATTGTGGAATAAGAATGCGACTATTATTAATATACAGATTAAAATACCAAAATGACAAGGCTAACACCCTTTATAATAAATAAAGTTTATTTTGTTTAACAATAAAAATATATTTTAAATTAAACATTGATATATACTAGTTTATAACGTATTAAGTTGAACATTGAATAAGAAATAGTTCTTACATTATAATGCATTGCTAATCTTTACATTAATAATTATTGTATTTCAACTTCCTGAAGTATTAACCCTTGCATACGATATTTTTAAATCAAACGATCCCCTAAGAGTTATATATGATCTAGAACTATATAATGGTACCATGGCTAAGAGCAATTAGTAGCGAAAAGTGTATCTTTCCAAGTATTATACGAAAAACAAGATTAATACAAATGGGACATCTTACTTAGACACCATACAATAAATTCCCTCAAACAAGTCATCTCTCGACATCATAACATCCACAATGTAGTCGTTAAGAGAGTTTGTTTAGGGGAGAACTATTAGACAGAAATTTTGTATTCTCTTTTTTTTTAATAAATCATATGCAGGTCAATTGATCAAATCATATTAAAATATTATGAGCCTTTTAATATTAAAAAAAAATGACATTGTATAGCCGCTCTCAAAATAATAACAGAAAATATATATATATATATATATATATATATATATATATATATATATATATATATATATATATGTGTGTGTGTGTGTGTGTGTGTGTGTGTGTGTGTGTGTGTGCATTTTATATGTGTGTGTGTGTGTGTGTGTGTGCATTTTATATGTTATATACAAAAATTATACAAATTTATACACTTTTTCGACTACCAAATGTAAATAGTTTCTGACACGGGCTAAAAGTGAAAGAAGCCCGAAAAAGAACTGTGCGCTCGGGACAGCATCATAATCACATCAAATAGTGGAGGGGCATAAGAATTTTTTAGCAGCAAATTATGTATAGGGTAAAATATGTTATGTCACGTGGCCGTCCAAAAAAGGGATACGTGGAACCTAAGACAGGATGTCCAAGACCGAAGGCAACTGTTCCGTCTATCACTGGGAAAAATAACGCTCATAAGAATGTAATAAATACTCTTCGCCCAGTAGCATTTAATAGGGAATATTCCATGGCATTAAGTACGATTGCCTGTTACAAGGAATTTGACATTTATGCTCACCGTTACATCTTCATCAATGTCCCTCATAATTGACATTAAAGAGGGGCACGATCCTAGGGCCTCCTTCCCTAGATATAGCTATAAACAATGAGTTCAGCTATCATTGTAAAGGACACGAATTTTCTGGCAAACTTACGCTATACTCTATCCAAAGCATAATATAATTTTATCTCCTTGCTTTTGATTTCATTGTTGTTGTGCCCGGAACCACTGTTTCTGCTATTTTGTCTCATCTCAAGGTTAAGTATTGCATATTTCTTCAATTATCTTATTATTTTAGGAACAAATTAATTCACTTGTCTAGAAATCACGTATAAACTCAACTGTACCGATTTACGGATAAACAGTTTGGCGCCCATCGTGGGGCCAAGAAAGCCATGCAATTAAATTTATCCTTGCCTTTTTTTACTAACGTGTTTTGATTATTTTGTCTTCGAAAAAATTATAAGAAATGGCAGATCACGGTGTTAACAACATGCACAATCCCGAGATTCGAGGGGATCGGCCTCATTTCGAGGACTCAATCAGTGACACCCACGACGAGGGGAACGACACCACACCGATGTATGACTGGCAATATCCTCGACATGTTCGGGAGACAACTGCCGATGATGCTGAGGAGGAACATGTCGTTGACGTGGTAAGGGTCTTGCAAGAGCAACATGCAATTAATATGACAGAGTTGAAGCAGGCGCTATCGGGGGCTTCAAATAATGCGAATAGACGAGAACCGGTTCCTCCCGACGCTCCTGTGAACCAAACAACGCAGAGGATCGACAACAACACCCCGATCGGTGAAGTTGGCTCCGAGGAGGCTGGGGGGAGTAGATCCTGTCCCAATAACGAAAACGATCTCTTCAAGAATGAACTCTTACGGTGTATGAGGGAAGTGAACGCCCGCATGGATCAAATCCCAGGTGCACCACCGGTGCTGAAAGGACCGGACTCGAAGAAATATATTCAGTTGCCATACAAACCAAGCGCAACACCAGAACTAATCCCGAAGTGGTTTAAAATGCCCGACGTGCAAAAGCACGATGGAACTTCAGACACTTAGGAGCATATTACCACCTATACAATGGCGGTGAAGGGAAATGATTTAGCTCCTCACGAAATTGAATCTGTTTTGCTGAAGGAATTCAGAGACTCTCACGAGGGGAGCCTTGACGTGGTATTCATTGTTACCCGAGCATTCCATAGACTCCTTTGAGATGCTCGCCGATTCTTTCATCAAGGCTCATGCAGGCGCCATAAAAGTATAGAACCGAAAGGCCGACAAATTCAGGATTGCACAAGGAGAATTCGAGTTGCTACGAGAGTTCGTTACCCGATTCCAGAAGGAGAGACTATTCTCCTAGCTATACCTGATGAATGGGCAGCTGAATCATTCACCAAGGGACTGAATCCGAGAAGTTTAGATGCTTCCCGAAAATAGAAGGAAAGCATGCTTGAGTTTCAAGCAACAACTTGGGCGGATGTCCACAACCGGTACAAATCAAAGATAAGGATCGAAGATGATCAGGTTGGCTTTCCGTCGTCGATAAAAGGATGAGAGAAGAACATAGAAAAATTAAAAGACGATTTCGACACAGACAAACGACCTTCGAGGGGCCGGTTTTTGCCCAACAAACGAACTAAAGGTCGCGGTAGAGGCTTTCAGACAACAGACAGGTTTGCCATTGACAGAAGTACTGATTGCAGTTAGAACAATAGATCACTACAGGATAAATAAGCGTTAGGGTCACGAGATCCTTCCTACCCCAAGCCATTAGAATACAATTTCAACGTCGGCATAGTAGAGTTGGTGTTAGCCATGAGAAACATCAAAGAAGCACGGTTCCCGAAACAAATGAGAACTAATCTCAGCCAGAGGGATCCAAACTTGTGGTATGAATATCACGGGACGAATGGCCACCAGACTGGGGAACCCTCGAAAGCA